GGCGAGGTACACGAGGTCCGCCTCGAGGTCGAGGATGCTCGAAAACCGGCGGCTGCACGCCGCCACCGGCCCCAGCCGCGTGCATCGCGGGCCTTCCAAGGCTGCGTGGCCACGGAAGCCAACTCCCACCCAGCCCCCCGACGCGGTGATGTCTTACCATGTGGGGCCCGGGAGCCCTCGACACCACCATCGGGACCGGCGTCTCGCCACAGGTCTTTGCTTGATGTGATGGCCCCGGGACCCGAGCACAGGCCTCCAGGTCGAAGTTGTGCAGAATACTTTTTCGCTCTCGCGGCGCCTGGAAGCTTGGGAGCACCAGGCATGGCCTGGCCATGGTCTGGCTTGGAGCGGGCGGTGGCGCGCAAAAGGGGGCAGAGGGGGAGGGGAGGGGAGGCTCCTTCTAAGAAACCTTCCCCACTCCTCCCTGCCCCCCTCTGCGCGGGTGGTGGGGCGGATCTTCCTTTTTGATCGATGTTCAATATTGTGACGTCGTCGCTTTGGCCGAGGGTGCTGAACTTTGGTCTCTCCCCGAGGAGGAGATCGGCCCGTAATTCGGGCCAGCCGCGTCGCGGCATCTTGCCTATGCAAATTTCAGCCTTTGAACCTCGTTATCATCATCACCACCATCACCATCATCATCACAACCATCATTACCACCACCAACACCATAATCATTATCACCATCACCATCACCATCACCATCATCATCACCATAATCATCATGGTCATCATCATCGTAATCATCATCCACATCAACATCATCATCACCACCACCGTCACCGCACTCATCATCATCATCATCATCATCGTCGTCGTCGTCGTCATCGTCATCATCACCATCACCAATATCAGCATCAACATCATCATCTTCATCTTCATCATCACCATCATCTTCATGCTGATCGTCATCATCACCGTCATCATCATCATCATACTCAAAATCATCATCACCACCACCGCCACCACCATCTTCATAATCATTATCACCATCACCATTATCATCGCCATTAGCATCATCACCATCACCATCAGTCCACCACCATCATAATTATCATCACCACCATCAACAGCAGCATCATCACCATCATCACCATCACCATCACCACCCGCATCATCGTCACCACCACCATCTGCATCATCAACACTATCATACTCATCGTCATCGTCATCTCGACTTTCCCAAGCCTGGAGACACGAGGTGTCACATGTGACGGCCTCCAGTACACTCTTGAACAATCGCCACCCAACATGTTGGGCTAGCATGGTGGCGGAACTTGCCGCAAGCATGCCGGCAACTTGATACCGTCGTACATTTTGATAACATGCATACATATATATATATGCATATATAGGTATATGTGTATATGTATGTACGTCTGTACGTATGTGCGTACGTATGTATGTGTGTGTATGTATTTATGTATGTATGTATGTGTTGTATACCTATGTGCTGGAAACATCGCGCGCACTTCGCGCGCGCTCAGGTTCTAACCCAAGCCGGGGGAGGCGCTGGAAGATCTTGGCCAGCGCTATCAAGCACAGGCGCGTGACAGAGTCGTGCGTCGAACCTCTTGGGTCTTCGTGGGGGTTGGGAATGCTCTTGGGGACCCCTTGGACCGTGTTGGAAGCCTTTCGGGCCATCCCGAGGCCATCTTCGGGATGTTAGAACGACAGTTCCGCGACTGTAGCCCTCTTTGAGGCCTCTCGCGGCCATTTTCATACGTTTTGGGGCTGTCTTGGGCCGTCTGGGGGCGTCCCTGGGCCGTCTTGTCTTGGCGCCCTCGTGGGGGCCTGTAGGGGCTATATTTGGGTGTCCGGGACCGTCTTGGAGCGTCGGGTCGCTGAACAGGCAGAATTGCTGAAATCCATAAAACAACTAAAGATAATTAACGATTTTGGCTTCTTGGGGCCCTTGGAGGAGTGCTCTTGGAGACCCCTTGGGCCGTGTGGGAAGCCTTTTGGGCCATCTGGAGGCCATCTTGGGCGTGTTCGAGCGATATGTTCGCGTTTCGAGCTCTCTTTGACGCTCTCGCGGCCGTTTTCAAATGTGTTGGGGCTGTCTTGGGCCGTCTGGTGGCGGCCCTGGGCCGTCTTGGAGCCCTCGTGGGAGCTGTTTGGACGATGTTTGGGTATCCTGGACCGTCGTGGAGCGGAACAGGCATAATCGCTAAAATGTGCAAAGGTCGAATGAAAATCAATGGTTTTAGCTTCTTGGGGCCCTTTTGCGAGTGCTCTTGACGACCGCTTGGGCCGTGTTGGAAGGCTTGTGGGCCATCCGGAGGCCATCATGGGCGTGTTAGAACAATAGTTCAGCGACTGTCGCCCTTTTGGAGGCCTCTCGCGGCTGTTTTCATACGATTTGGGGCTGTCATGGGCCGTCTAGGGGCGTCCCTGGCGGCCCGGTGCCCCCATGGAGAATCAGGGCCCCCCTCCCGCCACTCCCGCCTCGTGCCCAGGTATATATTCCCCAATCAGAGCTTGCCTCTGTAGGGGTCCTAGCGGATTCATATGGTTAGGTTAGGTTTGCCGCCGATTTTCACCGCACGCCCGGGTGCCCGGGTGCCCAGGGGTGCCCGGGTGCCCGGGTGCCCGGGTGCCCGGGCGTGCCCGGGGGTGCCCGGGGGTGCCCTATGGCCCTATAGCCCTGTAGCCCAATAGCCCTACAGCACTATGGCTCTATAGCCCTATAGCTCAATATCCCTATAGTCCCCTAGCCGTATAGCCCTGATTGGGTTTTCTCCGGTATCATATATCTCTATATATATATATATGTATGTGTATGTTTATGCATATATCTAAATAGATATGTGCATGCATGTATGTGTACGTATATGTATATACTATATATATGTATAAAAAACGAAACGCTCGAAATGGTCTGGGGCTGGCGGCGTCGTGCCGTTGCCGATTTCCGAGATGTAATGGAAGCAATACTCCCCGTCCTCGTAGCTCTTCCACGGACCGGACGCCTTGTCTACCTGCCATTGGGAAGCGCGCGGACCCGGCACGCGTTACCTCCCTCCTTCTCCAATTCATCCCCTCTCCTCCTCCTCCTCTTCTTCCTCCTACCTGAGGGACCTGCAAAATATTTAGTCAAACGGGTGGTGGAAACCATCTTATGATCATGTTGTCCTCTTCAGTTTGCCTCTTCACTCTCTATAGCTTCGTCGACTACCATATGGAGCTCAGAGAATTACAGGGTGGACGCAACATAATACATTCTCAGATTTTGTTAGCAGTCGCTCATGCACTCCGCCCCATCCTTCATTTCCCTCCTCCTCCTCCTTCTCCCCCCTCCTCATCCTTCTAGACTTTTCCCTCCTCCTCCTCCTTCCTTTGCTGCCCACCTCCTACACACACCTTCAGCCTTCCAGCTCCCCCTTTTCCCCCTGTTGTTCCCCAAATGTTTAGTGGGGTTCTTGTTCCCCACATGTTTCGTGGGGTTCTGGTTTTCTTCCCTGCAGCGTTGCACCCGCGTCTCCTTCTCCTTCCCTCCTCCCTTTTCCTCTTCTCACTCACGCGCAACACCGGCACGGCACGTACATGAGACACGCGTCTACATACAGCCGCACGCATGCGCACACTCGCACACACACACACCATACAAAGCTAGTGCACGCCTGGCGTGTTCACTGCATCATACACCCACGACGTATGCGCTACATAATGGGCACACCCATGAGACACACGTCCACATACAGCCTGACACATATCTCACAGCGTGCCTCTTCTCGATGCTACAAAGGGGGTGCGCAAGGGATGCGGTCGCTGTTTCGGGCTCGCAAAGCGTGGCAGGCGCGACACGTCCTCGACGCCACAAGGGGTGCGCAGGGGGTGCGGTCACTATGCGTTTCGGGCTCGCAAAGCGTGGCAAGCGTGACATTTCCTCGACGCCACAGGGGGTGCGCTTGGGGTGCGGTCGCTATCCGTTTCGGCCTTGCAAAGCGTGGCAAACGTGTCTTCTCGACGCCACAGGGGGTGCGCTGGGGGTGCGGTCGCTATCCGTTTCGGCCTCGCAATGGCAGGCGTGACATTTCCTCGACGCCACAGGGGGTGCGCTGGGGGTGCGGTCGCTATCCGTTTCGGGCTCGCAACGCGTGGCAGGCGTGTCACTTTCTCGACGCCACAGGGGGTGCGCTTGCAAGTGGACTCTGTTGCTCAGCGCGAAGTTGCTGCTCGCCCACCAAAACTCGAAAATTCAGCTTAGTCTCCAGACTACGCGGAGCGACCATGTGAAACTGGCGCTACTTTGCCGACACAATCAATATCTCATACTGGCGGAAGATGCCGTCTGGAGGAGCTGGAGAAGGTCAGAGGAAACGGAAAAATTGATTGAATGGTTCACGCAAGAGCAACAATCGTTCATAACGGCATTGGTTGAGTCGATGAAATGATGAAGCGTCGGCGTCAGCGCCCCGCCGTTCCAGGTGAGCGATGTTTTCGTCGCAAGCGACGTCATGTTGGTTGCCGCCGCCCAATGATTTTCCATCGAAGGGCGCTCCCAGAGACTTTCCGTCCAAGGGTTCTTCCTGATGCCTTTACCTACAAGCACTTTCTCCACGCCTCGTTCCATCAGACTGCCCTCGGTGACCCCCATCCTCTCTTGCCGCGCCGAAGGGAGGAGGAAGGAGGAGGATGGAGGATGGAGGAGGAGGAGGAGGGGGGAGGACGAGGAGGAGGAGGAGGCGGAGGAGGAGGAGGAGGAGGGAAGAGATCACGCAGGACATAAAATAAGTACGTGGGGTTCCTCGGTAGCGTAATTTTGTTTCCACCCGCGGCGCACCCGCGTCTCCATCACACACTCACCTCCCTTCCTCCTCCCTCCTCAGCTCCTCGTCTTCTCTCGCCTCGCCCACGCGCAACACAGGCACGGCACGCACACGAGGCACGCGTCCCCATGCAGCCGCACGCATGCACATACTCGCACACACGTACACGAACAACGCCAGTGTACGCCTGGCGTGCTCACTGCACCACACACCCAGGACGTATGCGCCACA